ACAGCGTCTGAAGTGGGCGGCGTCGGGACGATAAGGAATGGGAGCCTCTGGGGGACGGCTGGGGTGTTCTCCCCCGGCCCCTGCAGGAAGGAGGGACGTGGAGTCTCCGTCAGCCGGGGGCAGGCTGTCTCCTGGGAGACGGAGGAGGTGGGGGCACCCGCCCAGGACAGGCCCTGCAATGCCTGCACCGGAGGAAGTGGGTGCTGGTCCCACCCAGCCTAGAAGCAGATTTGGGTGACTTCAAAGAACTGAAACTCCCGTGACAGTCACGTTCTAGGGTGCTCCTCATGCCAGGAGGGGGCCTGTGGGCAGAGGTGGAGGGAAAGCAGAAGGGGTGGCAGTGCCCCGGGAGGCCCCCCGGCTGTGGCAACCACCCGTGGGCAGCAGGTGAGTGGGCACAGCTGGGTGCTGGCATACACGGGTCAGCCTCAGCCCTGACCTTGGCCCGTGGTCTCCTTGAGGTTCAGGGGCAGCGCATGGGGCTACCAGCCATCTCAGCAAAGCCCCCTTCTGCCAGGGCGTCTGTGGGTGTGGACTCTGCAGGACGCACAGGGCGATGGCTCGAGCAAGCGCAACCCCTGGGGTTCCTGAGGTCTGCTGGTGACCCCATGACCAAAATGAGATCAAAACGAGACTCAGTGGTGCTCCTGTTCTGCTCCCACAGCCTCTGGGGCTGGGGTGCTGACGTGGAGGCGGGGCCGTCTCTGTCGGGGGTTGTCTTCCCAGGTAGCCACCTGTCCAAGGCCAGGGTTAAGGTATAGCCAGCACAGCTGCCGCCGGCAGCCCACATGGGTTCTGGTTCGAGTCCCAGCTTCTCCACCTCTGATCCAGCTCCCCACTAATGCACCTGGAAAGCTGGTCCAAGTGTTTGGGCCCCTGCACCATGTGGGAGACGCGGAAGAAGCTCCTGGCTTTGGCCTGGCCACTGAGACTATTTGTGGAGTGAACCAGTGAATGAAAGATATCCTCTCTCTCTCTCTCTCTCTCTCTCTCTCTCTCTCTCTCTCTCTCCTGTAACTCTTTCAAATAAATACATCGTTTTTTAAAGAAGATGACAACTGGCTGGCGCGGCGCTGACCTGCAGCACCCTGGGTGGCGCTGGAGCCCTCTGGTCCGCACGGCTTGGCCCTGAGCACCGGGACTCGGCTGCAGGCCGGCACAGGGTAGGGTAGGGTTGGGCCGTCGCATCTCACCAGCCTGGTGCGCCTGTGTGCCCTGCTGTGAACGACCTGGTTCCCCAAGCCCAGGGCCCCCAGCTCTGTCACCTGTGAGACACAGGCAGCGCTCCACCTGCCGGTCAGTCTGGCCCCACACCAGTCCTGTCCACAACAGAGACCCCCCCCCCCGGAAGCGGTCCTGGATTTGGGGACCCGCTGCCAAGAAGGGGAGGAAATGGGACCTTCCCTGCCCCCTGCAGGGCCCCGCCGTCCTCTGCGCAGGTGACACACGCGGCCCGGCTCCTGTGAGCCGTGAACCTCATGCCCCCTGTGCCAGGAAACCGACCCTTCCCCTCCGTGAACGCCCCTCCCCAGCCCCAGCAGCCCCCAGCCCTGGCCACAGCCCCGGTCTGCTCATCTGTCCCCGCACTACGCACCCCCAGCCTCCAGCAGGAGCCAGCACGGAGCTCCGTGAAGGCGCCCAACACGACCGGATGGAGGGCGGGGTGGGCGCGGCGTGGCCGCAGGTCACTGCCCCACGAGGGGCTGGCGGGCGGGCAGAGCCCACGCTCCGACCGGGAGACGGGAAACTCGCTCCTGCGTGGGTGCCCGCGGACGGCGGCCCTAAGGGGAGGCGCGGTTTTGCAGAGGCCACGGTGCCTTCCCGCTCCCCCAAAGCCAGGCCTGCGGGCCTGGGCCCCGCTCGCCCGCCCCCGCGGCTGCGCCCGCACACCCGGCTTTCAGCCTCCGTGCCCGCCCTGGGCCCTGCCTTGCGGACCTGGTAGACACAGAGAAGTGGGGGTCAGCGCGGGCTCTGTGCGGGGTCCCTAGGCGGCCCCAGACCCTGCGGCCATCCAGCTCCCAGCGAGGCCAGCGTGCGGGACTGGGGGCCGCCTCTGGGACACAAGCGGAGGAGAAGACGAGACCCACAGGTGACCCGCGCCCTGGACGGGCATCCAGGCTGGACCGCGGGGACTGATCCGGCTCCGCCCCCGGGACACGGCGGGCCCGGACGTGGGCACAGCATCCGCTCCGCATCCGCGACCCCCGGACAGCGCAAACCTGCGGGGCACCAGCGGCATCTGGCCAGAACCAGGGGACCCCGACCACGGCCCCATCCACCTGCTCCCTCCTCCCTAGGTGACCCCTGTTTCCGGCCCCGCCCCTCTTCCTGGATCCGCCCCTCCTCCCAGCTCCAGCACCTGCTCCAGACTCAGACTCTCCCCAAAACCAAACCCTGCTCCCGGCCCCGCCCCCCCTTCTGCCTCCTCCAGGGTCTCCCAACCCCACTGCCCCCTCCACCAGCCCCTTCCCCCGGGACCGCCCCTCCACAGGCTCCGCCCACTCCACGGCACCGCCTCTCTCCTCCCCGCTCCAACCGAGCCCGAACCCCACCCACTCGTGGAGGCCCCGCCCCTCTCCGTGGATCCGCCCCTCCTCCCAGCTCCACCACCTGCTCCAGACTCAGACTCTCTCCAACCAAAACCCCGCTCTCGGCCCCCGACCTCGCCAGGCTCCGCCCCGTCTCCCGGCCCCGCCCCCTTTAGCCTCCTCCAGGGTCTCCTGGCCCCGCCTACTCCACGGCCCCGCCTCTCTTCTCGGCACCGCCCTCCCCTCCCCGCTCCAACCGAGCCCGGGCCCCACCCACTCGTGGAGGCTCCGCCCCTCCTCCCCGCTCCAGGCTCCGCCCCACGCCCACCCCGGCTGCCCACCCGACTTGAGTTTCTGGCAACCTCAGAGGAAACGGAAACTGAAAATGAACGCGGAGCATGGAAAAGAGCGGGGGAGGGGCCGAGCGCGATGACGCAGGCGCGGTGACCAAGCTCGGGGGAGGACCAGGCTGTCTCCTGGCCACGCAGAGTGGGGGGCCCGAGAGGGGCGGGGGGGGGGCTGCCCACCGCGGAACCCGGAGCCCTGGGGGCCCTGCAGCGGCGGGCCGGCAGCGACCACGCCAGGCCTGGGAAGTGCGCGCCTGGGGTCCAGGAGCAGCGGTGCTGAGCCGGAAAGAACCGGCCTGCACCTGCAGGGCAGCCCGGCCCAGGGCCACGCGCTGGGGGCTCCGTGGAGCCACAGGAACCCGGGATTCTTCCGCAGAGACGGGCACCTTGCAGGGTCCATGCGGGGAAGACGAGTTACAGGAGTTCATTTAGGGGCAAAAGCTGGAGATGGTGCGGGGCGTTTGACACCCTGCGCTCTCGGCGCCAGGGTCTCGGCCCAGGGGGACGACTGTGAGCTCCCGCGGGTGTAGCCGGGAGCAGAGGCCAGGGCGCAGCCGAGGGGATAAAGCCCTGCACGGGGACCGCGGTGCTGCCGCCCTCTGGTCGGGGTGAAGTGGGCCTGCCCTTCCCTCTGGGGTGTGTGAAGTGGACCTGCCCTTCCCTCTGGTTGGGGTCTGGTGTGAAGTGGGCCTGCCCTTCCCTCTGGGGGTGTGAAGTGGCCTCCCCTCTGGGGGGTGTGAAGTGGCCTGCCCTTCTCTCTGGGGGGTGTGAAGTGTCCTGCCCTTCCCTCTGGGGGGTTTGAGGTGGCCTGCCCTTCCCTCTAGGGGGTGTGAAGTGGCCTGCCCTCCCCTCTGGGGGGTGTGAAGTGGCCTGCCCTTCCCTCTGGGGGGTGTGAAGTGGCCTGCCCCATCTCCCTCCCCTAAGGGGACTGGGAAGGCATTGAGTGCAGATGGCCCCTCAGACGGGCATCCAGCATCACAGAGCCCCAGGCACTGCTGCCTGTCCACCGGAACCCCACCCCAAACCGGCACAGCCACTCCTCAGGGCGCAGCTGTGTCACCTGCGGGAGCACAGTGAGGTCCCCGAGGGCAGGCCAGGGAGAGGCTGGGCAGGCGCCTGACCCACTGGGAGCAGCAGCCCCCTCGCTGCCCTTCCCCAAGCCCGCCCGGGCCCCACCTGGCTCCGCCTGGCCCAGGCTCTGTCTGAACCCCTCCCCTGCGAGGCCACGGGGATGGGGTGGGGGAGAGCCTCCTGTGGGTTGGAGCAGCGGGGGCAGCACAGAGGGACAGCTCTGTCCCCTGCGGGCCAGCCCCGTGCTGCCTGGGCCCACGTCTAGCAGCACTGTCCCCTTCAGAGTCCTCCCGCGGGGCTTCAGCCTCCAGGATGCTCCGTCCCCACGTGTCCAGGAAGAGCAGCCAGAGAGGCGGAGGGAGAGTGTGGGCTCCCCCTCCCCCCTGCGTGGGGTGGCCCGACCAGGGGAGGACCTCAGGCCAGCACCGCCCCTTCTCTGCCATGGGCCCTGATGGCATTGGCCTCAGGTGAGCTCTCCCCAGAGCTGGGCTGGGGCTGGCTGGGGTGGCCTCTGTCACCAGAGCAGGGTTGGGGGTGGGCTGCTTGTCTGTGTCTGAGCTGAGCTAGGAGCAAGGAAGTGGGGGGTCCGTGGCTACAAAGGGGCATGTGCTTTCCCACCCACAGCCCCTTAGCAGGAAGGGGAGCCCCTGGGAGGGCTGCCCTCTGCCTGCACCACCCCACCCCAGGCCATGTCCATCCCGGGGAAGTTAGACAGGAAAAGTCCAGGGAGACCTTGGAGTGAGCAAAGGCAGTGGGGAGGGGGGAGGTGCAGGCGGTGGGGGAGGGGAAGCGGACAGGAGGGTGGAATCCCCCCAGGAGCCAGGCTGGCCCAAGACCAGACTGGGCTGTGGGGGCAGCAGCCGGGCCAGGGGCCTCAGAAGCCTCTGATGAGACCCAGGTCCTGGGCTTCCGCCCCTCCCTGAGGGTTAGACCCAGGAGGTCCGGGCTTGGGGCCCCAGGACCTGCATTTCCCGCGGGCAGCCAGGATGGGCATGGAGGGGGCTGCGCTGGGCGCCCAGCCCACCCCCTTGGCCACTGAGTTTCGTTTCTCTCCGGCAGGATGGGCTGCTCTGGGTTTCCTTCTGTGACCCCTGTCCCCGCCCCCGCTCTTGGTCCCTGAGGGTCCGCCAAGTTTCATTTCTCCGTGGCCCTGGGCGGAGCTGGAGGCGGAGCCGGCGCCTCATAAAACCGGAGGAGCCCGGGCCGCAGCTTCTGGCGCTGAGCTAGGAGCGGTGAGTGTCGCCGCTGGGGTCCGCGCTCCAGCCGGGAGAGGGGCGCACGCAGCGGGGCTTCCTGGTGGAGAAGAGGTGAGGGCAGTGCGCGTCCTCTCGCGGGCGGGTGACGTCACGGGAGCGCGGGCCACGGTGGATGGGCTCCGACCACCCCAGGTGCTGGCCCCCGGAGCGGCCCGCCCGGAATGACGCGGTAAAACTTGAACCTGCCACCTGTCCTGGCTCTTTTCAAATTCCTGCAGCCAGAGAAGGGGGAGGGGCTGGAGTCGGGAGGGGTCTCCGGTCAGGGGGCGGGGCGCTGAGGAAGTTTCCTGGGGTCTCGGAGTGGGCCCCGCGGACTGGGAGTTTCTGCGGTGGGGCGGGGCGGGCTCCTGGGAAGTGCCGGCTCCAGGTCCTCACTGGTCCTGGGGCGGGGGGCTGACGGGGAGACCCCAGGGCGGCTGGGAGAGGAGGAGGCCCAGAGAGGCACCTGCGGGGCTCCGCCCACCCTGCGGGGCTGGGGATGCCCAGGGGGCAGGACCCCACACAGAGGATTCCGGAAGGGGCCTGGGGAGCAGGACCCTGCTGCTGGGGATCCAGGCCTGGGGAGACGCCCCTCCCCCACACACAGCAGGGACCACAGACAGCACTTCTGAGCGCCTCCCTAGCACCCCCCAGTGGATCAGCTCTGGTCCCCACCCCTCCCCCTCGCAGAGCGCCTCCCTGTCTCCGTTTCTAGGTAGCAGAGCCATGGTGCTCGGGGGCCAGGGCTGGCCCGGGGGAGGGGCAGGCACCATGGAGTCTGGGCAGGGCAATGGCCCAGGCCCTCTGCCCGGGCTCGGCGTGCAGGCCTGGCTGACTCCCGCTTCCTCGCAGCACACAGCGTCGCAGGAGACACCGGAGGAAGATGGTGCAGTCTGGGGTGGAATCCAGGAGTCCGGATTCAGCCGCTGAGCCCAGTGCAGCGACACTGAATGGAGACGCTCACCCGGCAGAGAGCGCGCAGCCCAGGGTAAGTGGCCGCCCGGCAGGTGCGCCTGGGGACACGGGCGTGTCCTGCTGAGGGCTGTCCCCTTCCACAGGGCAGCGGCCGCCCTCCTGCTGCCTCCGCGTGCTCCCCGCTCTCTGGGCCACCAGGGCAGGACGATGGCCTCCGTGCACTCTGGCCGCCAGGGCCACCTGGCTCTGGGAGCCTGGACAGGCGCTGGGGCTCAGGCAGGACAAGCAGCCACGGCCGTCCCTGCCAACCTCGGCTTGGCCTCCGCTCAGCCCTGCTCACTGCGTTGGGAGCTCCATTGAGCAGCCACGTGCTGTCTCCCCCAAACCAAGACGTTTTGGGGGGAACCCCACGAGCCTCTGCGCTGAGTCCCTGCACTGCCGTTCCCGCCGGACCTCGGGGGGCTTCCCTGCCGCTCACGCCTGGACGAACACCCTGAGATGGGCTGAGCCGGAGGTGGGCTGCCTGTGACCCCCGGGAGGGGCCATGGCAGCTGCCGCCCAGGCTCCCAGGGCGTGCCCGGTGATGCCGCCTGCCCCTCGGTGGCTTTATTTATGTAACTTTTGCGTGCACACAGTAGGCGTCTTTCACCGAGTAGGTCTGCCTCCAGGTGGAAACTCGCTCCTCAATGCACGCTAGGCACCCTGCCGCCGCAGGCTGTGCACGGTCTGGCCGAGCCCCTGACCTCCCACGTCACACACCCCACCGTGCACGGTCGGTGTTGGGCTGGGACAGTCCGGTCCCTTCCAGACACTGAAGTCCCAGGAGGAGCTGAGGTGCTGACCCCTCCTCCGGGTGAGGTCCGGATCCAGCCGGGAGCTCTCCCTGCCGCCTGGAGGATCCCCCACAGAGCCGGGGCTGGGGGGCTGGGGGCTGCGGGGCGCTCAGAGGTCTGTACGTCTGAGGTGGTTGCTGCTCCACTTCCGTGTGTACAGAGACTTGCTCACGTGTGTGACAGGTAGAAACACACACACAGACAGCTCTGATCTGCTGGTTCACCCCTCACAGGGCCACCATGGCCGGGGTTGGGTCAGGCTGATGCCAGCGTCCAGGACCTCACCCAGGTCTCCCAGTGGTGCGGGGGCCCAAGCACTGGGCCGTCTCCTGCTGCTTTCCCAGGGGCGCCAGCAGGGAGCTGGATCAGAAGGGGAGCAGTGGACTCAAACAGGCGCCCCATGGGAGGCCAGCACCCCAGGTGGGGGCGACCCTGTCCAGCACACGGCCGGCCCCCACTTTCACTCCTAAAGGCGTTGTTACCGCGCTTAGACTGTCAGGTCCTCTGCGGGCTGAGCAGCGTCATCCCGCCGTCCCCGCACCTGCCTCGCTGCTGTAGGAACACAGCGTCCGTCTCCGTTCGCCCCTCGGTGCTCAGCACCGCACGTGGGGGCCGCGATCCTCGCGGGGTTTCTGGCGCTGGTGGTGAGCAGTGTGGTCCTGGTGCCCGGTGCAGCGCCCTCCTGTTCCCAGGTCGGGGCTCAGGAGGTCCCTGGGTCTTTGCTTTGCGTTTCCACGACGCGTGAAGACACCCCAGAAGCCCTCCCGGGTGCTCTTCCCGCTGGCGCCTGCCCCTGCCCCTGCACCTGCTCTCCTTGGAGAATCCCGAACCTGCTCGGCTCGCTGGGGCTGGCTGCTTGGACGTTGCACCCACGGCTGCCCAGAGTCCTCTGCGTTCCCGTCCGCAGGGGCCTGAGAACAACCTGTACGCCCAGTACGAGGAGAGGGTGCGCCCGTGCATCGACCTCATCGACTCCCTGAGGGCCCTGGGCGTGGAGCAGGACCTGGCGCTGCCCGCCATCGCCGTCATCGGGGACCAGAGCTCGGGCAAGAGCTCCGTGCTGGAGGCCCTGTCGGGCGTGGCCCTCCCCAGGGGCAGCGGTGAGGCCCCTCCCTCTCCTTCCGGGACAGCTGGGACGCGGGGCAGAGAGGGCCCTGGCAGGTGCTCAGTCGGGGAGGGCGGGGAGCAGGGTGGGGGCTTCGGGGCCTACAGGGGTTTCCCACCGGGCAGCCTGAGGAAGCCTGCGGGCCCCGGGGTCAGAGGGCGCCGGGCTGCCTGTCCAAGGCGGTTCCTGAGGTCACGCAGAGAGCATGCGTGAGCAGCAAGGGGGCGGCGGGAGGTTCTGCCTCGTCACCGTCCCCCCAGCGGTGACCGCCTGGGGGTTGACAAGTGTGGGCTCAGGCCTGCAGGGCAGGGGCAGGTGCGAGCTGACCCGGGCCTGGCCCCCTAGGCATTGTCACGCGGTGCCCTCTGGTGCTGAGGCTGAAGAAGCTGCCCCCGGAAGCCGAGTGGAGGGGCTGGGTCAGCTACCAGGACCAGGAGGTGGAGCTCTGCGACCCCGCGCAGGTGGAGCCCGCAGTGACTAAAGGTGAGAGCCCGGGCCTCCTCCCCTGCTGGTCCTGGCCGCACCCGGGCAGTAGGGGGCTCCCGAGACCGCCCGCCCCGTCCTGGGCGCTGCTGCTGCCTTGGGGACCCCTCCCCAGGGGCACTCAGCTCCCTGGCGTTTCCTTCCTTTCCTGCCTGAGCCCCGGGCCCCGGGTGGATCTGACAGCAGCGTCAGGACGCACCGAGAGCCCTGTGACCCAGAAACACGGAGGACTCGCACCCTGGGCCCTCTGCGGACTGACGGGGTCGTGTGGGGCGGGGCTCCTCTCGAGATCCTATACAAGGGCTGGCCCAGGGTTGAGGGTAGGGTCCCAGGGCTGAGGGTCCAGGGCTGAGGGTGCCAGGGCTGAGGGTGCCAGGGCTGAGGGTCCAGGGCTGAGGGTCCCAGGGCTGAGGGTGCCAGGGCTGAGGGTGCCAGGGCTGAGGGTCCCAGGGCTGAGGGTCCAGGGCTGAGGGTCCCAGGGCTGAGGGTCCCAGGGCTGAGGGTCCAGGGCTGAGGGTCCCAGGGCTGAGGGTCCCAGGGCTGAGGGTGCCAGGGCTGAGGGTCCCAGGGCTGAGGGTCCAGGGCTGAGGGTCCCAGGGCTGAGGGTCCCAGGGCTGAGGGTCCAGGGCTGAGGGCCCCAGGGCTGAGGGTCCCAGGGCTGAGGGTCCAGGGCTGAGGGTGCCAGGGCTGAGGGCCCCAGGGCTGAGGGTCCAGGGCTGAGGGTCCAGGGCTGAGGGTCCCAGGAATGAGAGCCTACACACATGGACTGTCTGTCAGCCTCTGAAATAAAAAAAATATATTTTTATAAACTTCAAGGAAAAACAGAATTAGAAATAAGTTCTGTCCTGACGGAAACGCTGGAATTGATTCACACAAGCGTCTTCTAGCAGTTCCTGGAGACGTGTGTGCTGTGGGACACGGGGTTTCCGCGTTCCAGCTGCGGAGAGGCCCTGTGCGCTGACCCCTGGCCCGGGAGCGAGAGCCCCAGCAGCGGCCGCAGGAGGCTCCCGAGTGACGGCGCCTCCCCAGCTCCTCTGGCTGCTGTGGATTGGGGGCAGGGGGAAAGGCTGGCCTGGGCCTGCCGTGGGCGGCGTGGGTGGAGCGCCTGGCAGACCCAGGCCTCCGGGAACACGGACGCGGACACGGACACAGACACAGACACAGACATGGACGCAGACATGGACAGACACGGACACAGACATGGGACACGGACACGGACACAGACATGGGGCACAGACACGGACGCAGACACAGACATGGACGCAGACACGGACAGACACGGACACAGACATGGGACACGGACACGGGGCACGGACATGGGGCACAGACACGGACACAGACACAGACACAGACATGGACGCAGACATAGACATGGGGCACGGACACGGATGCAGACATGGACGCGGACGCAGACACGGCCACGGCCACGGTGCTCTTTTCGTGCTGTGGGTGAGGCCGGCTGTGGCTGCACACAGGACTGTGTGTCGGCGAGCCCAGCCCCAGGGCTGTCCCTGCCTGTCTCACCTGTCAGCGGAGCAGAGGGAAGGCGCTGGGGGCGTGGCTGGGCTCAGGAGGAGTGGCCAGGCCCTCCCCACCCGGGGTCTGTCCCAGAGGTGCGCGGGGCAGGTCTTGCAGGCCCTGCATCGCTGCGGCCATCACGTGGCATGGGGGCCGCGGGCCAGCGTCCCAGGGCGAGCCCGGTTGTAAGGAGCAGACCCTGCCTTAACGGGGGACACGGGGAGACGACCCTGCCCATGGGTGTGGGTGCAGGACGGAAGGGACAGTGGTGTCCCCGTGCACACGGGTGGCAGTCAGCGTGGTGGACCGCACACAGGAGCTTCCGCCCTCTCCTGGGCGCCTGCAGGGGGCGGACCAGAGCTGCACTGGGGCTGTGGTCTCAGCCTTGTGCTCCAGAGGGCATGGCCTCTGTCTCTGAAGCCCCTGCGGCACTGTGGGCATGGCCACCCTCCTGCCAGTGGGCCAAGGGCAACAGGCCTGTCCCGGCTGATTTCGGCCTCCCTGGAGCTGCCCCCAGCACTCTCGCAGGAACCCCGGCCGGAACTTAGCTGCAGGCGATGGCGTGTCCAGCCACCGCAGGGGAACCCAGCAGATGGGGCGCCGTGTGCGTGGCTGTGGTCCCAGCCCGGGTGGGAGGCTGGTGCCTCGTGGGCAGAGAGCGGGGCGCTCGGCTGTCAGGCTGCACACGCAGACCCTGGCCCTGCACCTGCACCTGTGGGCCTGAGGAGGGAGCAGGCCACAGCCGAGTCGTGGCCGCGACGCCCGGCATGGCTCGGGCCCACGCAGGCCAGGTCCCCGCGGAGCCTGGCAGTTCCCGTCGGGAATCCCCTGCTTCCTGTGGTTTTCCCTCATTTGCTGTGACCTCAGGGGGGACTCGGGGGTCTCGGGAAGCCTTCGCCTCCCCGCCCTCCCGAGGACGGGACCCCCGGGGGCTGTGAGGACACTGGGCTCTGACCCCAGGGGTCAGCCCGCGGAGGAGCAGTGCCGGGGCTTTGGCTCTGACCGGGGACAGCGAGGTGTGCACCCCGCTCCTCTCCAGCCCTGGGCCCTGGCAGGAGCCGCGGGGCCTCTCCCAGGGAAGCAGGTGCCAGCCCGAGCCCCGCCGCTCCCTGTGCCTCCTGCAGCCCAGAACGTGATCGCCGGGGAGGGGCTGGGCATCAGCTCCGAGCTCATCAGCCTGGAGGTCAGCTCCCCGCTCGTGCCGGACCTGACCCTCATCGACCTGCCCGGCATCACCAGGGTGGCCGTGGGCGGCCAGCCCGCGGACATCGGGCACCAGGTGAGACGCCCGCACCCTTCCCCCTGTGCCTGGGCGCGCCTGGGGAGGGCAGTGGCGAGTCGGGGCCTGTGGTCACCAGTCCTCTGCCCGGCTCAGTGGGAACCTCTGAGGAAGTGGGGCCGAGGGCAGAGCTGTGCCCCGTGGTTTGCTCTCCAGCCTGGCTGTGGCTGGAGGCAGAGGGCTGTGTCTGACGCGGGGTGGGGCGGGGCCCTGTGGGAGGAGGAGCATCAGCAGTGGGCGTGGTTATGGCACCAGGGCCTCACCTGGAGAGGGCAGCAGCAGGGTGCAGCTCCTGTTTTGCAGCGCAAGGCTGGTCCCGGGGAGAGTGGCTGGGCCGAGTACCGTGGTGTCTCTGAGGCTCGGCCCTCGGCCGTCTGGGCAGGAGCCCCGGGGCTCAGGGCTCTGCAGGTGTCGCCCTGCGAGTCTGGGTGAGGCCAGGGCACGGCCGGGCCCAGGGAGTCGCTGCGTCACGGAGTCGCGGGGCCCCTCTCTCCCTGTGCAGATCAAGGCGCTCATCAGGAAATACATCCGGAGGCAGGAGACCATCAACCTGGTCGTGGTCCCCAGCAACGTGGACATCGCCACCACCGAGGCCCTGAGCATGGCCCAGGAGGTGGACCCCGACGGGGACAGGACCATCGGTGAGAAGGCGCGGGGCTGAGCCTGCAGCGGGTGCCGGGGGAGCCCCAGGAATCCAGGCGGGCGGGCGTGCGGGCGTGGCTCTGCCCAGGTGCACCTGCTGAGGGTGCCCAGGGAGGCCATGGCCAGCAGCTTCCCTGACATCTGGGGGCCCCAGGTGACGCGTGGCCCCTGTCTTCCTGCATCAGCAGGCCCAGTGGGGAGACTCAGAGGGCGGCCCTCCGTCCTGGGGCCATGGGAAGGAGCGTGGCCACAGCCTGTTCCGGGGGCCCCTGCCGCTCTCCCCGTAGGCTGTCGGGGGTTCATCTCCGGGAAGCCAGGCGGGGAGGAACCCTGGCGCCCGCGGCCGGCCCTGCGCTGAGCTTTCTCTGGGGCGGCTCTGACCGGAAGTCCCTGCCTGCAGGCATCCTGACGAAGCCTGACCTGGTGGACAGGGGCACGGAGGACAAGGTGGTGGACGTGGCGCGGAACCTCGTGTTCCACCTGAAGAAGGGCTACACGGTGGTGAAGTGCCGCGGGCAGCAGGACATCCAGGAGCGGCTGAGCCTGGAGCAGGCCCTGCAGAGGGAGCGGGCCTTCTTCCAGGAGCACCCCCACTTCAGGTGCGCGCTGAGCCCCCGCTGGCCGCACAGGCCTGGTTCCGACCCAGCCCCTCCCCCAGCAGGAGGAACCGACCCGGCCCCGTCTCTGTGTCCTGTGCAGGCCTGGTTCCGACCCGGCCCCGTCTCTGTGTCCTGCGCAGGCCTGGTTCCGACCCGGCCCCGTCTCTGTGTCCTGCGCAGGCCTGGTTCCGACCCGGCCCCGACTCTGTGTCCTGCGCAGGCCTGGTTCCGACCCGGCCCCGTCTCTGTGTCCTGCGCAGGCCTGGTTCCGACTCGGCCCCGTCTCTGTGTCCTGTGTAGGCCTGGTTCCGACCCGGCCCCGTCTCTGTGTCCTGTGCAGGCCTGGTTCCGACCCGGCCCCGTCTCTGTGTCCTGCGCAGGCCTGGTTCCGACCCGGCCCCGTCTCTGTGTCCTGTGCAGGCCTGGTTCCGACCCGGCCCCGTCTCTGTGTCCTGTGCAGGCCTGGTTCCGACCCAGCCCCGTCTCTGTGTCCTGTGCAGGGTTCTTCTGGAGGAGGGCAGGGCCACGGTGCCCAGCCTGGCCGAGAGACTGAGCACCGAGCTGATCGAACACATCTGTGTAAGCACGCGCGGGCGCTCTCCCGGCGGAGCCCGGCACAGGGCTGCAGTGCCGGCCTCGGGGCCTTCCTGGAAGCCTGGGTGCAAGATGGGGCTAGGAGGGAAGGCTCTGGGGAGCCGCCAGTGTGCCCCACTTTCAGTCCTCAGCGGGGGGAGTTGGGGACCCCCAGCCAGGTGGACGTGGGCGACTGGCCATTTGGGGCTGGCTGTGGGTCAGAGCTCGCCTGGGCTCTTTCTGCTCTGCTGGGCCACAGTTCCAGGCCTCCGTGCGTGGCCAGGGAGCCCCGGGACTGCAGGTTGATGTCCCTGAGCCGGGAGTGAGTGGGGAGCTGCCTGGGCCCCCTCATGTGGGAGGCGGGCGCTCGGTTATCGGCCCCTGCCCGGGCTTCCACAGCAGCTCGGGTCCAGACGGGGCAGGCTCAGGTCTCCTTCTCTGGACCAGTGCCCTGAGGCCCGGTCTGTCCTGGGTGCCACGGCCCCGGAGTCCTGCTCACCACAGGGCTGCTCACGCAGCAGGAGGCTGGGCCTGTTGGCGCCACCGTGAGGCCTGGAGCAGAAGTTCCCGGCCACTTCTTGTTGAGGTTTGCAGATCTGCAGTGGCTCCGGGGGCCCCTGTTCCAGGACCTACCCCACACGGGGTCTCTGTGCTGCCTGCAGGAGCTCCCGTGGCCGGGTCGTGGCAGTGGCTGCTCTTCTGGGGCGGCCTCCAAGCCACGCGGGCGCCTGGGCCTGGTGCCCAGCTGCTTGCCAGGAGCTGGGCCTGGGGCTGGAAGGAGGCCGGGCTGCCCTGGGCCCCTCGGGAGAGACCGGGGGCGGGAGGCGCCCTCAGGGGAGCCGCGCCCCTTGCAGAGGAGCCGGGCCCCGCCCCCTCGCGGGCTCGCCGGCACATCCGGCCTTTCTCCCCTCCGCAGAAAACGCTGCCCCTGTTGGAGAAGCAGATCAAGCAGAACCACGAGCAGTGCACGGAGGAGCTGCAGAAGTTCGGCGTGGACATCCCCGAGGACGACAGCGACAGGCTGCTCTTCCTGATTGACGTGAGCGCGGCCCGCCCACAGCTGCCCCGCTCTGCCTGCAAGGCCCAGATCTGCGTGCAGCAGGCCCGCCTAGTCCTCCAAGACGGACAGGGCAGAGAACCAATGGGAGGGGAGGGCTGGGCGCGGGAGGCGGGGCCTGCAGGAGACGGTCGCTCCTTCATTGGCTCTGGCCCTGAGCCCACCCAGGCCCCCCCGGGCGGTCAGGGGAGTGGGTCCCAGGGCGGAGCCTCCTCCTTCCCAGCTCCCCACCCCGCGTGCACACAGTGCATACCAGCCCACGCGTGTGCGTGCACCTCTGCTGACCCCGATGCCTCTCCCCGCCACAGAAAATCAACGCATTTAATCAGGACATCACTGCCCTCATTCAAGGGGAGGAGGTCGTCCGGGAGAACGAAACCCGGCTGTTCACCAAGCTGAGGGCCGAGTTCTGCAAATGGGAGAGCGTGATCGAGAAGAATTTCAAGGCAGGTGAGTGTCGCGGCTCACGGGGGCTGGCCCAGAGCCGTCACCAGTGATCGCGGACGGCGGGGCCTCCCTGGTGCCGGTTCTGGAGGCTGGCGGGGCCCAGTCCCGGCTCCACCAGATCCCGGTCTGGGGCGAGCTCTGTCTGCCCCGCCCCACAGACAGCGCCCCCTGGTGGTGTCCTTGCGTGGGGATGGTCAGGGGAGCCCCTGGGGCTCCTGGATCAAGGCAGGTCCCCTTGGGGAGGGCAGAGCCCTGGGACCTCAGCGCTGCCCAGAGACGCCCCTGCTGCCCCACCACGCTGGGGGTCAGGTTTCGGCACTGGAGTTGGGGGCACAGAGACAGGGCACAGCAGCAATGCAGTCACAGACCGGGGTGCGGGCTGAGCCCGAGAGGGAGATGCACGCAGGCGGTGAGGGTGGGCGCAGTGAGGAGCTAGGGACACAAACTCCCCGTTTGTCCCGTTCCTGTCACTGGCCCGGGTCAGCCAGCGTCTGAGTGCAGGGGACCCTCAAGAGAGGATGGCCATGGACCGGCCGGAGCCAGACGGCCGCGGGAGCTGCCGTCCTCCCCCATGGAGCAGGAGCCACGACCTGTGAGATGACGCAGTGCCGTGGACGTGGCCCATGGAGCAGAACCCAGGGCCTGTGTGATGACGCAGTGCCGTGGACTTGGCCCACGGAGCAGAACCCAGGGCCTGTGAGATGACGCAGTGCCGTGGATGTGGCCCACGGAGCAGAACCCACGCCTGTGAGATGACGCAGTGCCGTGGACGTGGCCCATGGAGCAGAACCCAGGGCCTGTGAGATGACGCAGTGCCGTGGATGTGGCCCACGGAGCAGAACCCAGGGCCTGTGTGATGACGCAGTGCCGTGGACATGACCCCATGCACCTGCTGGGGTCTCCAGCCCGGCACGTGGCTGCCGGGATTCCATCATGGCAGCCATGGAGGCAGACGCGCAGCTGCACCGTGGGTCTGCAGGGGCCCAGGAGGCAGGTGGCGTGGCTGCTGGGGCCCGGGCCACCCCAGGCAGCATCCAGATGGGCGAATCCATAGAGATGAGGTAGAGGCGCCCTTGCTCCCGGGGCTGGAGCGCGAGATGGGCAGGGAGTCCCGATGGCTGCCAGGGGTGAGCACGTGGGCGTGGCCAAGGGCGGAGCCGCTGGGTGCAGCCTTGAATGCAGCAAAGGCCTCTCCTGCCTGCACCGGGTGGGCTCCTGTAGGGATTTCTCCTCCATGATCACTCCTGGGGGACGGCCGCCAGCCAGCAGGGGGTGCCAGGCTCCACCCCGGTTCTTCACTCGGTGGGGTGGGGAGGGGGCCCTTGGGAGGCTCCAGCCCTGCAGGGTCCCTCCACCCCCTGGGGAGCAGAGAGTGAAAAGAACCCCAGGTTCCCAGAGGGGCTCCCATCACGCAGTGCACCTGCTGGGCCCCGGCCGCTGTCCCTCAGCTGTGACTGTACCCACCGCAGTGGGCCAGGTCCAGTGTCCATGGCTGTACCTGCTGTGCCCTGGCCACTGTCCCTCAGCTGTGACCATACCCACCCCAGTGGGCCAGGTCCAGTGTCCATGGCTGCACCTGCTGTGCCCTGGCCGCTGTCCCTCAGCTGTGACCGTACCCACCCCAGTGGGCCAGGTCCAGTGTCCATGGCTGCACCTGCTGTGCCCTGGCCGCTGTCCCTCAGCTGTGACCGTACCCACCCCAGTGGGCCAGGTCCAGTGTCCATGGCTGCACCTGCTGTGCCCTGGCCGCTGTCCCTCAGCTGTGACCGTACCCACC